GCCAAGCGACAGCCCGTGGTCCTCTCCAATTGTAATGGCCCCCAAGAAGGACGGTGATTATCGTTTCTGTGTCGATTTTCGGCGTTTAAACGCAGTTACCAGGAAGGATGCGTTTCCAATGCCGCGAGTAGACGAGATCCTTGACAAACTCGGTGGAGCACGCTTCTTTAGCACGTTAGATTTGGCTTCAGGCTACTGGCAGGTTCCTCTAAGAGAAGAAGATATTCCTAAAACCGCGTTCACAGTTGGCCCAAATCATTACGAGTTTACTGTTATGCCCTTCGGCTTGACAAACGCCCCAGCCACCTTTCAGCGAATGATGACGAAACTTCTCCATGGGATGAGCGGCTGTCTGGTATTTATCGATGACATCATTATCTTTGCTGACACCTGGGAGGAACACCAGAAGATTTTGGAAGAGGTTTTGCATCGAATCAAAGCAGTTGGCTTGAAGCTCAAGGGAACGAAATGTCAGTTCGGACGTGAATCGGTTCAGTTTTTGGGACATATTGTATCCGCAAGGGGTATCCATCCAAACCCAGAGAAAGTCCAAGCCGTACAAGATTTTCCGACACCGTCTTCGTTGTCGGATGTCAGAGCATTTGTGGGAATGGCCTCCTACTACCGCAGGTATGTCCGTAATTTTGCGGATATCGCCGCTCCTCTGCATGAACTAACCAAAGGAGGCAGAGAATTTTGTTGGACACCAGCAGCACAGCAAGCGTTTCATACCCTAAAAACCCACTTATCCACTTCACCTATCCTTGCCTTGCCCAATTTTATGATTCCTTTCACTGTTTACACTGATGCTAGCGATTCTGGTCTTGGAGCAGTGTTGTCGCAACGTGTTGGTTCCAGCGAATATGTCGTTTGCTATGCTAGTCGGTCATTGACATCAGCGGAGAAGAACTATTCAACAACTGAGAAAGAGTGTCTGGCCATTGTGTGGGCCATTCACTACTGGCGTCCCTACCTACTGGGAAAGGCGTTTCAAGTGGTTACCGACCATCAAAGTTTAACTTGGCTTCAGGGACTAAAAGAACCCAAAGGTCGCTTAGCACGTTGGATCTTAACCCTTCAAGAATATGACTTTGCCATCGTACACCGCCCGGGTCGTGAGAACTGTAATGCAGATGCACTTTCACGGTCTCCTCTTCCAACTACAGTCGTCAGTCATCCTCATTTACCGGATGAGGAGATCGTCATCGGGGTTATCGTCATCGGGGTTAGGGAGGCAACGAACATGGTACCTCTAAGGAGATCTACCCGTCAGCGCCGACCACCTGATCGTTACCAGGACTTTAATTTAGATGAGCTTGAGATCGAGGACGCTCTCACTTAAGGGGAGGGTAATGTAGTATACGAAGGTGTCTAATGATTAATAAAGGTCGCGTGCAAGGGTCAAGAAAGGATATCGGATGACAATAACAAACGGGATTGCTAGACAATATACAGGACAAGAATATAGTGCATTGAGTGCAGGGAACTAGAATAGGATTTAATAAAGTGATTTGTTTATACTGCTTGCGTGTCGTGATATATTACAAAACCAAAACTGGATAAATGGAACGCCGTAAATATTTAGTAACAAGTTTTAAAAATGAACTTTGGAACTTCATGGTTGACACGCATGCATATTACAACCATTTTATTATTGACCGGTCAATAAATGTTTGATTGCGGACCGATTGCCGAAGATTACGTTTTGTGGACCGGCATGTGACACGGTTTTAACCAATCGGCAAACAGACAACTAAGGAAAAGCTTTGCAGAACTTTGACACTAACTATATAACAAGTTTAAATTATTTATCTAGCTATTAAAAGCTACAAGTTTACAAAACTTGTGCACAAAACTGGGTTTTTTAACGAAGTTTTGTGACCAAAAATAAAATTATTTTCGAATTTAAGAACAATTTAAGAACCTACAGAACTTTAATGCTGGAAAATACAAGAAGACAACAACCAAGACTTTACAAAGGTTTGCAAGACAAAAACAAGTTAAACTCCAGAAAACAAGCGAAAATATTACGACCGTAGACTAAAACTGCAACATTGGCTGCAAATGTTTGTAATTTTCGCGCCAAAATAGGCAAAGCCAAACAGCTACAAGTAAGCCTAGATATGTATAAAATGAAAGCCGAAAAGTTCAAAGCGCGTGCCGTATTTAAGGAACAAAAAATGTACGAGAATATGGGTAAGCGAGTCTAAAATTATTCATACTGAAAGACAGAATGTACATAATACCATAACTCGCCGGCTGCAAGTGAAAGAAACCTAGATTCGATGGCCATTTTCGTCGAATAAACTGACCACTCCTTGCTGATTAAAAAGACGTTTTTCTCTCTAAAACAAACCCCAATCCTTTATCGTTCCGTCTACATATAGCAAGGAGTTATGATTTTCTCAAGACACGGTTTTTATCCTTTAAGGTTAGATAAAAAAGGCTGATAATCGACAAGATTTCCTTCAGGAAAACATCGCTACCGAACACTTCGGCATGACAACTCAAATTGACTTTGTTAATCAACTACCGCGATGCTGTACGTGCGCGCGTGCCGTTAAAAGGGGAAACGTCTATTGTTAATAGATAGAAACAACTATAGATCTTAATATGTGACCGGGTCACACCAATTTAATTTCTTTTTATAGATCTCTTGCAAATAGCTATATGTTTATATATTTTCTCTTTTTGTAAATATCTTTTTCTTGTGTTGGTGACGTTACGCATTTTGTGGAAAACAACTATTGCTGTTTTAGGTACGTTTTTTAGTTCTAAAAATGAGCATTTTCCTGAAACATCAATCGGGAAAAAAAATCAATCGGATAAACAGCGAACCCCAGGCGAAAAACCCGTCTGTTTTAAACCTACACGAAAGCATTCTACAGGCCGTCATCTTAGCTTCATCATATCATAAGGCAGTTTTCCCGCGCTTGTTCCAGTTATGATAGAGTTAATTACTCGCTACATAAAGATGATAAATGACACCAGAGTGGAGATCCATTGTGAAATTTGGAAGCGTGGTAATGGGGGCAAATTGAAATCCCCGATGAAGACCACACAATTCTTGAGTTACACTTGAAACTAGAAAAATTTAAAACAAGAATCACAAAACTGGGTGTTTTATATGTTTTGCATGTCAATATTACTACAAACATTTCCCCCAAATTTTAAATTCAAACGATTAATTCGTCTTGAAAAGATCAAAATTGCTGACAGCCGCATTGTTTTGGAACGCTCTCTAAAATGTGTTATACACAAAATTGGGGCAGAAATGCTTGGTAAAAATCAAAACGGGACTACTTAACTGCCATAAACAAGAATTCAGAGATTTTGGCTCAAACTCGCTATTATTTTTGCATTTTAATTATTTGCCTCCAAATAGCCGCGTTCCCTTTCTTTGACTGAATTAAGATAACGATGCCACCTCCAGTGTTATTGATAATCTCTATGGTTCGCTAATGCTTTCCCTCTCCCCCCCCAAAAAAAAACAAAACAAAGAGGTCCTAATTTGACTCAATAAAATCAGTTCCTGTTTGTGTATATCATTATAGGTAGGGATAAATTAAAAGGAAGACAAAGTTGTAAATGCATAAATATAATTGATAGGTAATAAAACGAGGTCTAGACCACTTGCGTTTGGTGATTATATTATATTGACTCAAGCAAACAAGTAATATAAGTTAAACATCTATGACATCATACTAACATTTCTTTGTTTACGTAAATATTCGACGTATCCAAACGATATACTTATACAAACGATATAACGTATAAGTAAAGAACGTGTATTGGAGAAACATTTTGCAAAATTTATGATATTTTATAGTTGTCTCTATTGTTAGTGTCTAAAATATGTTCCATCGTTGGTTTTACTCTTTAGTACGATCGTTAGACGTATTTAGTGAACATGAACTGATTCCTAAATGTAAGGCTCGTGCAATATCGTTATCTGTTAATGCAAAGTTGATCTAGTAAGTTACTTATACTGTTCGACTTATATTGTATGTGATTACGATTATTAAGCATGCATGCTATGCAACTACAGGCAAATACGTCAAATTATGCATGACGTTTCATGACAGTGAAGGATATTCAAAGTTCATTCTGCATTTTTTGAACTGAGATAATTGTCAATGTTTTTGGCGTCAGGCTATAAGTCATCTTCAAAACGTACGGACCGGAAAGATCCTGCTCTAGATAAACTCCTCATTTCGTATATATCATGGGAAGTATCGGTCATTGGCATAACTGCAGGGAATTTGTACAAAATGATGGAAGCAATTATACCAAGAACACTCATCAAAGAGGTTTGGAAGAACCCAAAGAGTGTCTGGTTTGTTAAGAAATAATTTACTGTGAATGTGATGAAACAGAGAAATGATGCATAACCACAGAAAGCCCAGAAACAAACAATTGTGCGAACACTTTTGAACTCAAAGTGTCTTTTTTGGCTGTCACATTGAGCAATATGTTGGTAAATAAGAAGAAAAATGAACAAACACGACACTGCAATAGTGAGAAAGATCGGTATTGACCAATATGGATCGGTAAAGATTGCAATCACAATCCAAGAGAGATGATAGCATATTGCCATAAAAATAGAATAAATAAACAGCTTGTTTTTGCAGACACTTAGTATCAAACCTAATATGACGGTCGAGTGGAAAAAGAAAGGGAAATACAAACTGTAAAGGAAATCGTCTCCACTAAAGTCAATGAAGTGACAATGAATTTGAGAAGGAAATTTTGGTTTCCAAGGAAAACAGAGAAAGAAGACAGCAACAGCTATGAAAAACTCAACCGTCCCTGCTAATTTTCCAAACAGAATCAATGATGTTTTGTTGATACTATTCTCTTGTTTTCTTGACCAAACTTGATAAGTGTAAGCGAATGATATGCCGCCAAGAACAGCAAAGGCGATCTGTGTGATGGCAGTAATTAACAGCTTCGTTTCTCCCATTGGCTCCAACTTTTCAAAAATGGTTTGTCGTAAAAGACACTCAGCAGTGTTCAGCTGTGGATCGCTTGTTATTGGGACAATCACCAAATCCTGCAACTATATAATTGAAACAAACGCAAATGACCTATTAATGCCTGAAACAGTAAGTCATTGAAAATACAATAATCGAAATTGGAATTACTGGTCATTCCATTAATGCCATTTAGTCTTACATTTATTTTGTGTGGGTTTGTAGTCTATCTGTGCAGTATATTCACATCTAAAGGACGACATTTAACTTTTTCAACTCAAATTTGTCAATGATTTGTTAAATCTATCATGGATCTGCCAACAAGTTGTAACAAGGTGTTCTCAAGGCGATATCAAGATGTGTTCGCACCGCTTATTCCCCATCTAAAACAGGTTGTTATCGCCGGCCATGGTGAGTAGGTCCAACACCACTTATTCAATTTGTTCGTACCAACTTTGTACCAGCTTGTTGTTATCAACCTGTTGTTATTTCTGGACAATACGAGACTGGATGGAACAACTGTTTGGGAGTTTGTTGGTTTCTTCTAACTTTTCACAAGATGACAACAACTTCTTCCAAACTTGTCAACAAGTGCGAACACATCTTGTTGACCATGCATTAATAACCTGTGAGATTTTTAAGCACGTAAAACGTCGTTCAAGCTGTGTGTAATACGAGTGTGTTCACTCCCTGTCCAAAACGTCACAGATTTTTAAGTTTTTAAATTTTTTAGCCGTCACGATTTTTAAGCGAGCGAAGGAACAAAATTGTCAAAACAATACAAACTGTAGATGTTATAAACCTAGAGAATTGTTTAAAATGCTGGAAATAAAAACCCCCATTGATACACAGACTAATTTGCCAATCTGGGCTATTGGATTCACCTTAAAGATGTTAAATCCTAGGTTTCGTCGTGTTGCTCAGTTTTAATTTTCGAAATTATCGCATTCTTTGTCTTTCGCCAAAAATATATAGACAGTTGATTGAAAAAATTTTGAAAGTCCATAGAACGGAAATTGTATGGACCTTTATTGCAAATAGAATGTATTTTTGATTATCCATGATATTTGTATATTTCCATACTATGGATATACAGTAGAATCGAAATATTTTGGACATACTATGGATTTAGTGGTGAAATTGAAATTATCATAGTATGGATTTCAATGCCAATGCCAATGGAATTCAAGACCAAAGCCAAGTCGGTCAATTTTACACGCAGAACTATATAGAAAAATTGCTTTGTTGCTTTGGTCTATTCCATCTTGCTTTCTGATAAATTTTGTATTTTAAAAGCTATAGTTTATTTATACTTTTGGCTAAAAAGCAGTGATAAACTGGGGGGAAACAGAGAAAGAGCAAAGCAGTG